AAAGACTACCTAATATTGATACATCAAGAAACAGCAACATACCCACATATTTTAAATTTACAGAGGTAAGGCTAGGCAGACTACAGAATTAAGGACAAAACTGGTTACACATGGAGCAGAGGACTGGTGCCTTTCACCTTAAAGTGTTGTTTACCATTCTGTTTTTTTCCTATTAGCATGAAATCATCTGATGAAAGACAAGGAATAAAATGAATCAAGTATAGTGTGTATTTTCTACACATTTACCTGATTCATCTAGACCCCCAAGCACCTGGAGGAAGGAGCAGGGTCAGTATGTCTTTTGTCCTCTGATGTGCTCCATCCATAGCTTTAATACTGTGGTGTGTCCTAGAAAAGGAAATCAACACTGTACATAAGTACCCTGTCCTCTATCTGCTGCTGCATGCCCACAGTTCTCAGGCCTGCCAGTCCTCTGTCTTCCCCCTAACTTGTCCTACTATACATACAGTCTTTAATGGGATTAAATGTTCGATACACCGCATCCCCAGTGCTTCAAGCATATAGTCTCAATGATACGGGACCCACAGAGTCACTTTATATAGGAAGACCTATGACTGTGTATATACGCAGGAGCTGATATACCCAACTGTGGTGTGACTCTGCTCATTAGAGAGTGTGGTGGAGAGTGGGAGACAGGACTCTTCTACTTGCACCAAAGAACAGCTTTGAAAAGGCTTGATTCAATCTATAGCATTCAGAGAATGTGGGAAACAGAACCCTGGCTCTATCCCAATTAACTGTGTGATTCTGAGAAAGCTCTGTAACCTGTCTGTGCCTTGGTGTCTTCATGTACATGGGGATCCTCCTTATGGGAACTTGTATGAGGAATCAATAATAATGAAATAATGAGGAATAATAATAAAGAAATAACAGTGAAAACTGTGCAGTGCACCCAGACTACTTCCTTTCTTCTAGTTAGCTCTCCATGAACTTATTTCTGTAACCTAACTGTGTTGAACGCTTCAGCCCCTGCCTGCTCTGTCTTACCATCATGTGTTCTGAGGGCATTTAACTCATGCCTTCACCACCTATGTATTTACCACACTTTATGTCAATACTGAAGAACAGATCATTAGAAACACTGTGTAACCTCTACACCTGAGACCTACCCTTACAAAAACCTAACCAGGGAAACTAGGTAAATAAAGCACAGCTGTCCAGGAGAAAAGAAACACAATTCAATTTGAAATCTTATAATAATAAAAGTATTCTATTTCGAATCTTATGCTCATTGCCGCAAAAATTAAAGTATTCAAAAACACCTTCTGTAACATAGCTTCCAAGACCCTTCCACATCTCCTAAATCCAGGCGATGCAGAGAGGCAAGGAAAGGTTTGCCCACTGCTGTGGTTTTGAGTCTGGATTTACTACGAGTGGTTCGAACTTAGGACATTGCTTGGACTTTGTTCTACCACTGCACTCTCCCGGGCTCAGTCCCTCCCAGCTTCTCTGGAAACATAAAGGCGCATTCCTGAATCAGAAGCTGACATCTGTTGTTGCCTCCGCCCAGCTTGAGGTCACCCCAGAGAGCAGCCCAGCTCCCTCCCTCACCTCCGTCAAGACCACAGGGGCCTTCCCTGAGCCGCCCTTGCGCTAGAGAGCCCCCTGCCCATCCCAGGCCAGTCTCTGCCCCATTTCCCCACTTCATTCTTTTTCGTGGCTCTCATCACCTAATACACACAAGTATATTTTTATTTATTTACGTCCTCTCTCTCTGTCCTCCCTCTAGGGCAGCACTAGTCTATTAAAATATAACGTGAGACATGTTTAATTTAAAAATTTCTAGTACCCAAACTAAAAAAGAAGTAAACATAAGCAGGGAAGATTAATTTTAATGTTTCTTCTTTAACCTCATGTATCCAAAAATTGGTGTTTCAAAATGTAGTCAACATCAAAATTATTAATGAGATAGCTTACATTTTTTGGTACTAAAATTTGGAGATCTGGTGTGTATGTTACAGTGCATGTCAATTCAGACTCACCCCATTATAAGTGCACAAAGCCATATGTGGTTGATGGCTATAGGATGGGTAGTATAGCTCTGAAATATAAACTCCATGGGGTGAAGGCTTGTTTGGCTCACTGTTATGTACCCAACAGCTAAAACAGTGCCTGGAATGTGAAATTTTTTAAGTATAGTTGATTTACAATGTTGCGTTAATTTCTGCTGCATAGCAAAGTGACTCAGTTATACACACACACACACACACACACACACACACATCTTCCTTTTTAAGTATTCTTTTCCATTATGGTTTATCATAGTATATTGCATATAATTCTCTGTGCTTTACTGTAGGACCTTGTTTATCCATTCCATATACAAGAGTTTACACCTGCTAACCCCAACCTTCCATCCCACACCATTCCGCCCAACCCCCCTTCCCCCGGGCAATCACAACTCTGTTCTGTAAGTTTGAGAGTCTCTTTCTGTTTTGTAGATAGGTTCATTTGTCTCATATTTTGGATTCCACATATAAGTGATATCATATGGTATTTGTCTTTCTGATTTCCTTCACTTAGTATGATAATTTCTAGTTGCATCCACGTTGCTGCAAATGGCATTATTTCATTTTTTTATATTACATTATATATATGTACCACATTGTGTTTATCCATTCATTCGTCAATAGACCTTTCACTTGTTTGCTTATCTTGGCTATTTTGAATAGTATTGCTAGGAACATAGGGGTGTGTGTATCATTTTGGATTGAGTTTTGTCTGGATATATTCCAGGAGTGGGATTGCTGGACAGACGGTAATTCTATTCTCAGTTTTCTGAGAATACCCCTTTCCACAATGGCTGGAACAACTTATATTCCCCAACAGTGTAAGAGAGTTCCCTTTCTGCCACATCCTCTCCAGCATTTGTTATCTGTAGACTTTCTAATGATGGTCATTGTGACCAGTGTGAAGTGATACACACTGTAGTTTTGATTTGCGTTTCTCTAATAATAAGCAATGTTGAGCATCTTTTCAAGTGCCTATTAGCCATTTATATTATTTCTTCGGAGAAATGTCTATTAATGCCTTCTGCTCATTTTTCAATTGAGTTGTTTGTCTTTTTGTTGTTGAGTTGTATGAGTTATTTGTATATTTTGGAAATATACACCTGTCAGTCACACCACTTGCAAATATTTTCTCCTATTCTGTGGGTTGTCTTCATTTTGTTTATAGTTTCCTTTGCTGTGGAAAAGCTTGTAGGTTTGACTAGGTCCCATTTGTTTATTTTTGTCTTTATTTCTATTACTTTGGGAGACTGACCTAAGAAAGCATTGGTATGATTTACATCGGAGAATATTTTGCCTCTGAGCTCTTCTAGGAATTATTATGATACCATATCTTATATTTAAGTCTTTAAGTCATTTTGAGTTTATTTTGTGTATAGTGTGAGGGTATATTCTAATTTCAGTTCACATGTGGCTACCCAACTTTCCCAATACTACTTGCTGTAGAGGCTGTCTTTTCCCCATTGTATATTCTTGCTTCCTTTGTCAAAGATTAATTAACCAGAAGTCTGTGGGTTTATTTCTTGGCTCTCTATTCTGTTCCATTGACTCATATGTCTGTTTCTGTGGCACATGGTTTTTAAGTCAAGTAACTATTTAACATATTTCTTGTCTTCCATCTAACAAGCACATATTGAATATATACGATATGGGGAAAAAACATGGTAGAAATAAAGTTAATTACACAAGGGTGCTTACAAGAAATGGGGGTTACTCTTCTACAGAAACAGAAAGACTGGGAAACTCCAAGGCAAAAGAAAACAACCCATGTCAATTTTAAGCAGAGTGGGAAAGAGCATGGTTCAAACTGAAATGGGGTGCCACTCTGGAGAAGTAGAGAGGATCATAGAGAAAGTTACTGCAATGACTGGGAGAGATGCTGAGGAGGCAGAAATAACAAGGTCTGGCCCTAGCCTGTGTGAGAACCAAGTCAGGGAGGAATTATAAAGACAGGTTTTGAGCTCAATGCCAAGGAAGGAGGCAGTACCATGACAAACCTGGGAAATCCCGAGGGATAACAGGTTTGTGGGGATCTCCCTGGCAGGCCAGTATTTAAGATTTCACCTTCTAATGCAGGGCATCCAAGTTTGATCCCTGGTTGGGGAACTAAGATCCCACATGCCTTGCAGCCAAAAAAAAAAAAAGAAACCCAAAACATAAAACAGAAACAATATTGTAACAAATTCAATAAAGACTTAAAAAAAATGGTCCACATTAAAAAAAAAAAAATTAAAAAAATTCAAACATAAAAACAGGTTTATGGAGGACAGGAGGTCATGAGGACTTGTCATCAGGTTCTAACACACAAACCCCAGCACTGACCACATTTCCATCACTCTTTCTTCTTCCAAATTTAGGCAGCAACAGTACTTCCAAGAACATCCCATGAGAAAACATCAACTGCAGAGGAGTCACAAGCTCTCCTCTCTGGGTCTCAGTTTTCCCTTCTATAAAATGAGGGGGCAAGGTTGAGCCAGGTATTCTCATCCCAGCCTGCTGATCACTCTCCTTGAACCAGGTCCTCAGAGCTCTCTTTCTTTGCCATAGTTGCCAAGAGCTCTAACAGAAGAGTATGAGTCTAACAGAAGCTATGAGTCTAATTCTCCCATTTATATAACACTTCGGTTATTCTTCAAGAGTACCTGGACAAGAAAATCAAAGCCAGGAGCACGCTCAGAGCAGCGACTGTCATCACAAACTCCATCCATTCTACAGCTAACAATGTACCAGGTGAGCAGCCAAACAACAGTGTTGACTGCCAGTGAGAGCAGTCACATTTCTGAGCTGACATTGTGGTGCCCAGCAGTGAGGCTAGTCCGCCTGACTACAGAGGGAAGGACATTCTTTTTACATGTGTTTACATGATAGAAACACTTTGAACACAGGGCTGACAGCAAGGACCATCAGGAAGCCTGTTTCACTTGTCCACACGTGGTTCAAGGTACCCAGTGCAAAATAGGAGCATCTCACCTGAGACGCTCCTCCTCTTTTTTGCGGAGATTGAAGTCTCGCTGGACCACCTGGAGAACATGCTCTGTTTCATCATCGGTCAGGCCAGACAGGTCCAGCTTCCTCCCCATGATTTAACACCAGACACAGATGGTGGGACAAGACCTGAGAAATCAAAGGAGAGACCACAAATTGAGGGCAAGAAAAAAGTTCTCCACGGATAAAATCAACCAATGTTGTTATTACATAGAATTAAACACAGTGTTTATATAAGGTGGTTTCCTGCTCTGCTCTCACACTCAGCAAATATTTAGAGACAACTTCAGCAAGGCTGCAGAGAAAAAGAGAAGGTAACTGATCATCAACACTGTTATTTACCCCGGTTCTTAAATTAGAAAAAAAATGATAAATTATTCTTTTCAATAAAATGAGGTGTACATGAGATCTGCTGTAAATTTCTGTAAAACGCCAAAAGATGATATCCAAAACTTCTCAAGTTCTGTGATTTGAAGTCTCAAATTGTAAATATTACACATAATTGCGAGATAAAAAAAAAATCATACTTAAAAAAGTATCCTATATCTCCTGAAGCTTTTATCACATGACTGAAATACAAACTAGAAATTGATAAACTCTCTTCTGCAAAAAAAAAAAAAAGTAAAATAATACTTTTAGACATTTTCTTAGCACCAGAAAGTATATTTCAAAGAAACGCCTCCCCAGAGGTGCATACCTAAAAATTATGGGAAACTACATTTAAAAAAAAATTTTAGTGAGTAGTTGCACCCAGTGGTAAAATTAAATAATTTCAGAAAAGTGCCCAGAATTGAAGGGCATCACAAACATAAATTCAAACATTCTCCAAAAAAATATCTGTGGAACCAATGCAGCAAGATTTCAAAAGCATTATTACATGCCATAACCAAGTGAGTTTTATCTAAGCAATGTAAGGTGGTTCAGCATTCAAAAATCAGAGTAACCCACTACATAAGTAGAATAAAAGGGAAAAATCATCTGATTATTTCAAGAGATGCAGAAGAAGCATTTGACAAACTTCAGTGCCCATTCATGATAGAAACCCTCTGAAAACTAAGACTAGAGAATATTTCCTCCATTATATAAAAGGCATTAAAAAAATAAAAACAACAAAAACCTACAATTAGCGTCAAATTCAGTGATGAAAGACTGACTGTTTCCCCCTAAGATCAGGAAAAAGGCAAGAATGACCACTCTTACCACCTCTGCTCAATACTGAATGTCTTTATTATAAAGCTACATTAGTCAAGACTGAGTGGTATTGGCAGGCACGTAGGTGTAACGGCTGGCTAGTAACAGAGCATCACAGATGAGGTGGCTTAGATAACAGAAATGTATTTTCTCCCAGTTTTGAAGGCTAGAAGTCTGAGATCAGGATGTTGGCAGAGTTGAGTTCTCCTGCAGTCCGTCTCCATGATTTACAGATGGTCATCTTCTGCCTGTATCTTCCCATGGAGTTCCCCCCTGTGCACACCTATGTCTTAATTTTTCCTTCTTATAAGGATTACAATTGCATTGGATTAGGGTCCACTCTAATACCATCATTTTAATTTAACTGCCACTTTAAATATTCTGTTTCCAAATACAGTAAAAATCTGAGGTGCTCAGGTTAGGACTCCAACATATGAATTTGTCTCAGCCTGTAACTCTTCACCCTTTGCACCCCGCACCCCGAGATAGCATGTCCTTCTCACATGTACATTTCAATCACTTCATCCCAACAGCCACAAAAGTCTTAACCTATTCCAGCATCAACTCGAAGTCCAAAATCTCATCTCATTATCATCTACCTTAGGTATAGGTGATTCATCCCGAGGCAAAGATCCTTCCCCCTTGTGAACCTGTGGAAGCAAACAAGTTATCTGCTATCAGAGTAGTGTAGTGGGGCAGGCATTGGAGAGACATTGCATTCTAGCGGGGAGAGATTGGAAAGGAGAAAGAAGGCTTAGGTCTCAAGCAAGTCTGAAAGCAGGGCAAATTCCATTAGGTTTTTTTTATTAAGTTGTACTTGACATACTATACTATGTTAGTTTCAGCTGTACCACACAGTGATTCGATATTTTTATACGTTATGAAATAATCACTGCAACAAGTCCGGTTACCATCCAAAGTTGTTACACTATTATTGACTATATTCCCCGTGTGTAGTTTTCTTCATGCATAATCTACTATTTGTTTATTTTTAATATTTTTATCCCTGTGTACTTTACATTCCCATGACTTCTTTATTTTATAATTGGAGGTTTGCACCTCATAATTCCCTTCGCCGATTTCCTCTGCTCCCTCCACCCCCTCTCCTTCAGCAACCACCAGTTTGTTCCCTGTGCCTACGAGTCTCCTGGTTTCGTTTGCCTGAGGCTCAAGGGTACTCTCTTTGGCTCCGTGCTCTATCCCCCAGTCCAGCAGGGCGGCGGCCTCACCCCCGTGGCCCTGGGAGTAGCCACAGCGGCGGGGCCCACTCTCAGGAGCTGAGGAGGGACAGGGCCCTCCCCCGGCCATGTGACGGTGACGCCCCTGCAGACGTCCGTTTTGTCTTCAGGATCCTTCTTTCCTTTTCCTGACGGATTATGCATGTTGGCGGCCCAACAGCTCCGCTGGCCCATCCTGTAGCCTCTCAGAAGTCCAGCAGCCTTCCTTCAGTTATCCTGGCTCTATTTAGTTTAAGCTGGCAGTGTCTCTGTCGATGTAGATTCTCCAGAACTTTGTCAGCTTCCCATGCAGTTCTCAGGGGGCCAAGCCATCAGACAGGAGGATCCTCTACTGATCCGTCCTGGGTAGCAGCGTCCCTGTTTCCGGTTTCTGCTGCAACGGTTGACTGGATCTGTGAGCCACAGTCTAATCTCATAAGCAAATGGTTGTCCACTCACACCCTGACTGCTCTCCATATACAGACTTTCTCATTTTTGCAGTATGAGTAGACCGAGAATTTTCCAAATCTGCAAGTTCTGGTTCCTTTCGTGGAACAATTCTGTCTTGTTTACCTCTCTCCTCTCACATCTCATTATAGCAGCAAGAATAAGCCAGTCTTTAATACTTATTTTAGAATTCTCAGGTAACTATCCAAGTCCATAGTCACTGACAAATTCTACTTTACATAAAACACTGGAACACAATTAGACCAAATTCTCTGCCACTTTATAACCAAGAATGCCTTTCCTTCAGTTTCCAATTACATATATCTCATTACTCTCTGAAACCTCAGCAGACACCTCTAACATTCATGTTTCTATCAACTTTTTGTTCATGATGATATATGTGTTCTCTAATATAAGAGAAGCTTTCTCTCCTTCTCTCCTCTTTTCTTTTCAAGTCCTCACTATAATCACCTTTAACATTCATATTTCTACTAACAGTCTCCTAAGGGAAACCTAGACTTTTTCTAACATACAGCTCAAAACTCTTCCACGCTCTACCCTTACCCAGTTCTGAAGTCACTTCCACATTTTTATACAGAAGAAGAAACAGACATGGCAAATACACGTATACAAAGATGCTAATTTCACTGGTAGTTATAGAATTGCAGTTAAAACCATATTTAATATACACCAAAACTGTCTTTATCCAGTGTTACCAGGAGGTGGGACAATTTTGATATAGTGAGTACAAACTAGTACAGTCTCTTTGTAACACAAGTAGGCCTCATTTTCAAAATTGAAGATGCATGTACCTCAGCATTTCTGTAGGTATATTTCTCAGACATCATCTTGCAAATATGCACCAATAGACGGGAATTGGGTTGAATCATATGAAATAAATGGTGACCTATAAAAACTCGTATTTCACATAGCTCATCCTAACAGAAGAACATTAGTAACAGTAACATTCAAAAGAGCAAAAAATATAAATAAGTAAAACCTATAAACCATCTCAAACAATCATAAACAGGAAGAAGGATAAACAAATAGTGTATGCTTGTTTCATGCCAATGGAATACTCCACTGCAGTGAAAAAGAACATCCTAAAGGTATATTCCACATGCATGAATCTCTAATAAAACATGCTGTTGAGACAGACAAGTCACATGTATATGCATGTACAGCATGCAAACTGTATGACTCATTTTTATGTAAAGTTTGAAAGCTCAGAAACCCAAGAATACATATATTTATTTTTAAGAATGAATGTGATAATACAGAACAAAAAGGGCCCTCTGTGAAGGAGAGAGAGCTGGCTGGGTATAATCACATATGGGTGGGAAGACAGCCTTGGAGCACTGCTGGTCTGAGGAAGTGAATCAGGAATAAGACCCCACCCCTGGGCTGCTCAACAGCGGAGGCTCCATAGCTGCCATCTTCCAGTTTCCCGATGAGCAGGAAGAAACACATCAGAGAGCACAGGGAAAGTGCAGACTGACTTCTCCCTTTAAAACACCTCATTAAAGGTGATAACGGCACTTTGGAGTCTCCCAGAAGGTGATATGTCTGCCCCCTTCACTTCACTGGCTTTTGGGTTCTGAGAATTCAAAGTGAGATTCTAAGATGCCCAGTTTGGACAAGACAGAAGTGGCAACTTTGATCATATCAAATCTAAGTGATCAGGACTAAAGAGGCATAAATGGTTTCTGTAGAGAAATAAACAAAGCAGCTGTAAATGGATAAGACAGAGAATAATGAGAAACCCTTTGGGGGAAATAGTAAAAGCGTCTTCCCTTTTTTACAGTAAACACAATTAGATTTCCTGCATCATAGGAGAAAGGACATCAGTAGGGCTAGAAAGGCCTCAATGTCCATGAGTCAGAGGTCACACAGGTTTGACTCTTTCATTTACAGATGGGAGAGTGTAAGCCCAGAGGGAAATGATTTCCCAGACACAAAACTGGTTCAGATGCTCTGACTTTCAGACTTGGTGCTCCCACTCCTGGATTTCTCTTTTTTATACTCAAATAAGAAGGTAGCAGAGAGAATACATTTTAAAATTTAGTAATGAGAAAATTAATAAACTTCAAGATTTAATTACACCACCATTTCCCTAACAAGTGTTTCTCGGGTCACTGTTCCTGTTCTGAGTGTTCTGAGAAAGAAGAGCTCAGAGATGAAATAAACTAGAGAGGAATGCTTCACACTGTATTGCCCTCTTGGGGATGCACAGTGCATATAAGCTTATCAGAGCCTCTAAGAAGTCTGTCACTAAAGAGCCAGTCTGCATTTAACTCTGTATTTGTCAAATGCATGTGTCTGCAGATACCTGTTTCTTTAATAACAACTGCCTCTTCACATCCAAAGAAATGACTATTTGAGAACTATTGCTGTTAAGTCCATCCCATGATGACAAACTACAGTAGCTACTGTAATATAATTACTGAATTGATTTACTGAATTGATTTAGCTGAGGTTTTTAAAATGCAATTATCATAGGAAGCTACAGAGTTATATGAGCTTTAGAAGAAGCTGATGACTTAAAAAGGAAAGCAGATGGATACAACTTTACACATAAAAATCAAAATAAAGGTAGAATTGTCTATACTGTTCTTGAATAGAACTAGAGGGAGGATATAGATGATTCTATAGGAAACTAGGTAGCACAAACCTTGCAAATGAAAAAAAAAAAAAAGACATTCCAAGAATATGAAATACACACACAATGGGAAGTTCTTCATGAAGGGTCAGGGTTTACACAAATGACATTCTAGAAAGGAACCTAGAACAGATGCATAAAGGACAAATGCATTAATGGAATCTTTACAAATCCACTGTGTGTGTGTGTGTGTGTGTGTGTGTGTGTGTGTGTGTGTGTGTGTGATGCGCCTGATACACAGACAGAGGTAAAGAGATTAACTTGGAATATCCAAAGTCCTAAAGACAATAAAGGGTAAATAAATACTGCTGGGGCTTCCCTCTTTGACCATAACTAGATCTTGATTAGAGCTGAAGAGAAATTTCTTACTTCTATAAAGGAATTAAAATGTTAGGGCTGTCCCATTTAAGACTCTGGTTATCAGGTGGTTAAAAAAAAAAAAGAACTTGGCCTGGGAAGGAAAGAAAGAAAGGCACAAGTGGTCTGAGATGTCCTTGCACTGCAGCTTCTTTGGAGTAAGTGGTGCTTGGGCTGTAGAACGCACTTTCATTCTTCCATCTTCAAGGGTGTTATCCCTGCCACGAATAGCCCCCTCTCCGAAACTCATTCTTTACCTGTACACAGCAAAGGCCCAGAGAAGACAAGGTCATGCCAACAAGGCATAGTTGATTGGACCAAGGGTGTTACATCTCTCTCCTGGGAATGATATTAACAGGAGTAAGAAAAAGGAATAGAAAAATACGAATAAATTATGGTGGATAACTTTCCAAATTCGATGAAGTGTTGTTAGTCTTCTCATTCAAGAAGCTCCACAAACTCTTCGTTGTTGTTTAGTTCCTAAGTCATGTCCCCATGAACTATAGCCTGCCAGGCTCCTCTGTCTGTGGGATTTCTCAGGCAAGAATACTGGAGCAGGTTGCCGTTTCCTTCTCCAGGGGGTCTTTACGACCCAGGGGTCAAACCAGCATCTCCTGCCCTGCAGGTGCCACCTGGGAAACTCCAACAAGATCCACGGAGGAAAGAGTCAAAGAACGCACATCTAGACACATCATAGTCAAACAATCAAAAGTCAAATAAAATACAGAATCTTGATGGTAACAAGAGGAAAATGATTCATCACACACAAAGGATCTTTAGTGAGATCAACTGCTGACTTCTTATCAGGAATCATTGAGGTCAAAAGGCAGAGAGATGATATATTTAAAGAACTGAAAGAAAAGGATTATTATCCAAGAATTCTATATAGAGAAAAGTATCCTTCAAAAATTAAGGATAAATTAAGACAAGACATTCCAGATAAGCAAAAACGCAGAGATTTTACCATCAGCTGACCTGCTTTACAAGAAATACTAAAGGAAGTCTATTTAGCAAAGACTGACAGAATTAAAAAAAAAGAAATGGACAATTCAGCAATAATAGAGATTTCTATATCAACCTCCAGTAACAGAGCAATTAGCAAAACATCAGCTAAGATATAGACAAGTTAACCCATATTATAATTTACGTAGCTTTTACAGACATCTACAGAACACTCTACATGATAGCAGAAAATACACTCTAAAGTACACATGGAATATTCTCCAGATAGACCATACATTAGGCTATAAAATAAATTTTAATACATTTAAAGGAATTGAATAATATAAAATATATCTCTAATTACAATGGAAGGAAATTAGAAATTAATAACAAAGACATTTGGTATATTCACATGTATATGGAAATTAATGTACTATAAATAACCAAAGGGTCAAGAGAAATAAGAAAATATCTTGAGATAAATAAAAATGAAAACACACATACCAAAACTCATGGAATGCAGCTAAAGTAGTGCTTAAAAGTAAATTTATAGATATAAACGCCTATGTTAAAAAGGAACCATGACAAATCTATAACCTCGTCTTCTACCTTAAAAGATTAAAAAAAGAAAAGAAAAGCAAACTGAACTGAAGT